AGAAAGAGGCCTCAAGCGGCCGAGGGCCTCCGCCGCAGCCGCAAGTGGTATTTGGATGTCGAGGTCGGGAGCACGAGACGCCATGAGTGTTGTCCGGACCCCTGAGGCTCTTGACGTCGAGGAGGTCCAATCGCCTAGCTCCCTTGGGAGCCGCTCGAGGCGTTGAGCTGCCACGTCCGCGAGAGACTCGAGGGGCGCTGCACATGGGTGTCAAGCGCATACAGCGTCGTCTCCTCGCACCACGCCATCAACCTCGAAATTTGTGGCTGACGGCTACGTGTTGCCGTAAGATGACGAGGAGGCGGATGCGGAGGTCATGAAGTTGCTTGGAGGCGGCCGAGGCACCCGGCATGGCTGGCCCGTCTGCTTGAGGAAGAGGTGGTCCCTCCCGCCCGCGGCCGCCGATCCTTGAGCTTTGACTGGGCCAAAGGGGCCATGTAACCGGATTGAGTTAGTTGTCAGATCGTGGACGTTTTTGTGGCCCGAGGCCTTTAAAGTATTTATGTATGCGTCTTTTAATCGTTTTCCGTTCTACTTCCGAGCCTGTGCCCTCTGTCTCGATCTTGGGAACCCGCAAAGAAAACCCTCGGGACCTAAGCCGTCCTTGGCGAAGGGTGGTGAGGGAGCCGCCAGAGCCCAGGCGAGGCCGTTCTCACGCCTCGACCGCCCTTTGGCCTCTAGACAAACTTTTGGTCTTTGGGTTTCTTGTGAAGGTCCCATCGGAGCGAGAGAGTTTTGGCGTAGAAATTTTTGAAAGACCATTAACAAATGGTGTTCGGGACTTAGGGGTTCCCCTTTCTAGCCCCGAGGGAGGCCGGCTTTTGGAGGCGGCCTGAGAGTCTCCCTTATAGCGCTATTGTGACGCCGAGCCCCTATTGATAGACAAGCTCTGCATGCTGTAACTTCCTGAGCCCCTCTGTTTGTCTTTTGGGTGAAAAGGTGGTGAGGGAGTTGCCAGAGTCTTGAGGCGTAGGGCCGTTTTCACTACCACCGGGCCTTTTTCGCCTTTGAGACGATCGTGACGGTCCTTGGGTTCTATACGATCGGCTAGTCTATAAGGGGGGTTTCTCGAAAAAGTTATAACAACTAAGAACGCTTCTTTATTGCATTTCGAGAAACAATGTAAGCAACGTTTGGAATTTTAAGGGTAGAAACGACGTGGTTGTTCTATGTTCCAAGCGTTGGTGAAGATTTCGCCCTTCTCGTTGGCTAACTCAGAGGTCCGGGCTTGAGACTTGAGCGACGATGTACGGCCCTTCCTTGGGTGGGGTCACTTGTGGCAGCCCTTGTTGCTCGCCTCGCTCTCGAGACTGGTCGCCCACCTTCGTGTCTCGGCCGGACGCCACGGGCTTGGTAGCGTCGTAGGGCTTCTTTGGTACTGGCCGAGTGTAGCACCATGACGTCTCGGGCTTCCTCCGGTGGTCGAGGGCGTCTTTCGGGAAGGCGGGCGGTTGCTTTTGCTCATTGTATGCCTGTAGCTGTTGTAGAAGGAGTCGGTCTTGTTCGACCTTGGCTTGAAGCTCGTGGAGTTGCTCTAGGTCTGGGCGTCGATGCCCCCCGCGGGCGGGATTCTCGTTCCGTCTTGCCGGGCCTCGAGAGACGCTGGTGGTGGTGGCGTCGCCCGCCCCCGCCCGGGGCGGGGAATGGTTGCCTGTCCTCTCGTTCCCTTCGCCCGCCCTTGGCATCCCGAGCCCGACGTGGAAGCACTCACGAGATGGATCATAAGTCCTTCATCGTCGAGTCGGAGTAGCCGAGGCAAGAGTCGCTGCGGCCAAGAATTGGCGCAAATCCCCTGTGGTTGTGAAGTTCGGAGAAATCCACCACCGGGCCATGCCTCGCCCTCGTCCGAGGAGTTGGCGGGTGCTCAAGTCGAGAGAAGCGGCGGCGGCGTTCGAGGGTGCTCGTGAGTGGCGGCGTAAGCGCGAGGCGTAAGAGGCGGCGGCATTTCTCAACCCAAAGGGGTATGGGGACGGGCCGTCTCCATATTACCCGCCCGGGTCGGCTCTTCGAGGAGTGGCGGAGCGGGTTAGACGACCGGGCATCGCCAGAAGCCACCGGCGATTTTCCTTCGCCCGTGCTCAGTCGAGATAGGTCCTCGGCCGGGGACCCCGTACCAACAATGGTGGTCGAGGACATCGGCGGGAGAGGCGTGTCGCCTGGCTCTCAGAAGGCGTCAGGGTGGCCTTGCTCGCGCGTCGTGCACGGCGGCGTGGCGAGAGCGGCCGCCGCGGGGCGCCGCCCGCGCCTAGGGTCGCCGGGCGCGACTTCGTCGTCGAGACGGTGGGGTTCGAGGAGTAAGGAGCACCATGTCGCACTCATGCCCTAGAGACATGAACTCTAGGCTCCCCAACCAAACTATGGTGCCGAGACGCAATGGTCGTATGTAGTCCGCCATCCGGAACTTGCTAGGATGACGAAGCGACACGCTGGGCGCCTCTACTGCCTCGGGCGCCGCTAACCGCCGGTGTTTTGGAATCGGGGTCCTCAACCAACGAGTGAATTTGTCTTTGCGTGCCCCTAATCCCGGATGGTGGCGCAAAGAGACACAAGGTTTATATTGGTTCGAGCAATCGAGGCCCTACGCCCGGTCGAGAGATCGATCTTGTATTCCTTGCACCGGAGTGCTCGTAGTAGGGGGTTACAAGCTAGGTGAGAGAGAGAACTAGCCTGTGGTCGGCGAGTGTGGAAAGGGCTGCTTGAGGCGTTGTTCCCAAGCGGCGTAGGAGTGCGATGGTTCTATCGGCGTGTTCGCTCTTCCTGCCTCTCTCAGAATGGCCCCATCCCTCCTTTTATACTCTAAGGAGGACCGGGACCGTGCATGTGGTGCTACATAGCGCTTCAGAATTGGGTGGCGTGTCCGAGCCTCGTAGTCGGCCTTTGTTGTGGTATGGTCGATGGAGTGGCCCGCCCTTGTCATCGCGGAAGTGACATTTGGTCATACTCGGTCTTGTGCGTCGTGGGGCTCTAGTACGGCTTGATGCGGGGACATGGCGGGCGACGCGCTGGTCGCCGATGTAATGACGTCGTGAGGGAGCGGCTGGCTCTGCAGATGCCGAGGCCGAGCCATCGTGGGGGCTCGGTGGTCATGGACCCTCAGTCGCCGAGAGCCCGTGAAGCCTGTCGAGGCCTTGGGGGAGTTATTAGTCCCGGTTCGATTCGAGGCCACGATAGTTTAGACGTGGCTCCCCATGCTGCGTTGTCCTTGGAGCAGGAGTTGGCAAAGACAATTGAGGCATGGGTGTCAACCATGTGCACGGTGGATAGCATAGTGACGGGTAACCCCGCCCGATTCGGGGGACGTCGCAGGTCATCGCGTGATGACGTCGTAGGGGTTGTGGCTCTGTAGGTGCGAGGCCAAGCCATCATGGGGGCTTTGGCGGACATGGGTCCTCGGGCCGTCGAGCCCCTGGAGCAATTCTGCCGAGACCTTGAGGGAATTATTGCTCCGGATCGATTCCGAGGCCACAAGAGGCCAGATGTGGCTCCCCACGTTGCATTGTCCTCGGTGCGGGGAGTTGGCAAGACATAGTGAGGCATGGGCGCCAACCCATGTGCACGGTGGTTAATCTGATGGCGGGTAACCCCGCCTGATCCCCGCCTCTGTCCCATCGGCCATTCTGTTTGTCTTGTCTGCGGGCATTACTGTTGTCGCGGAAGCTAGCTATTGGTGAGTTGATGCGACACTGACGTTTTGCGGAGGGACGGGAGAAGGAAGAGGTAAGTGAGTCTTCGCCGAGCCCGCCTTGCGCGAGACGGCCATTCGGTGGCCTCGGCCGAGGCCTTTGGCGGGGAATCGACCGAGGCCCGCGGTGAGGGGGCCTCGGCGAATCGGAGAATCGGTGAGGTCCGCATGGTGATGAGGCCTCATGAGTCGGAGAATCGATTATGTGCATGGTGATGGGGCCTCGGGCGAGTTTGAGAATCGGCCGAGGCCAGCAGCGTTTAGCTGGTTTCGATCTTTACGAAATCTAAGTAGTCGTTTTTTGGATCTTGCTTAGGGTACCCCTTCTCATGGTATCCGACACTATTGACTAATTTATCGTGAGAAAAAATACTATTTATTAACTGAAAAGTATGACTTATAAGCTAAACAAACATGCTGCAGCATGCGTTGCTTGAGATGCAACTTTCAGCTCACACATCCCAACTACTTCCAGTTAATTCAAGCCAACTACTGAACCACACTTGTGATCTCTCCTAGCTGTATCTCGCATCACAGTAACCAAACTTTTACAGAAACATCTCGACAATGATTGATGAGAGGAGAGAACATATTCTAACAGGCCCCATAAAAGAATTATTTGCGAAGACGATATCTTAGACACATGGCATTGCCTTGCAGCACTCGCTTGAAGCCCACTACAACCAAGATATTCTTTTCTGAAGCTTGGAGTACCATTCATCTACGGAGTACACTACAAGTCAGAAACCTATATTATTCCCTCGCTCTTATAAAAAGCTAAATAGAAAGCTGTGCGTATCAAGTATCATCAGCGGTGACCGGTGCGCAATCCTGTCACCATCCTCCACGTGCAACCTTAAACCTCAATGGCCCCGTTCATTTAATCTGAATTTTTACTGAACCTACTTTGAAAAACACTATTCCTATTTGAATTGTCATGAGAGAAAAAAACATTACGCCTTGAAAAAAATCTTCTAAACAAGCCAAATTTAAGACAAGCGAACGGGACCAATATGATCTGGAATTCAAAAATTCAAACTAGTCGAATGAATATTTAAAGACACGATAAGGAGAAGAGATTCAAAATTAATTAATTGTAAATTTATAATTTGGGGGGAGGGGGAAAGTAATTGGTTTTGTAAGAAAAAAAAGGCAAGTGAGATTTGAAATGGAATGGCGTGGTGTTAACAAGAAACAACTGCAAGGAGAGGCAGCCACCCGTCCCCACCGTCCATCCCTAAAACATCGCCACGTCCCGCCTGCGCCACCCCCCAATGTCCGTGGCCACCGGCGGCGGCGGCGTCCACCACCGAGTCCAATGCCCAAGCCCCACTACGCCGCTTCCTCACCTCCGCATCCGCCGCCGCAGCAGCCGCCGCTCCTCCCGCTCGCGCTCGTCCCGCCGCGGCAGTGCCCGCTTGCCGCGGCCCTGCTGGCGCTGCTCTCGCTGCTGCTCGCCACAGCGCTCTGGCTCCTCCTCGTGCTCCCCCCCTCCCAGGGGGCGCCCCCCACCGCCGCATCTGAGCACTCGGCGCTGTCGGATGCGCCCGGCGCGGCCTCGCCTCTCTCGCTCGGCCACATCGTCTTCGGCATCGCGGGGTCGGCGCATCTCTGGCCGCGCCGCCGTGAGTACGTCCGCCTGTGGTGGGACCCCGCCGCGATGCGCGGCAACGTCTGGCTCGACGCGGGCGCGCCCGCCGCGCCGGGGCCTAGCGCCCCCTGGGAGGGCTCCCTCCCGCCGATCCGGGTGTCCGAGGACACCTCGCGGTTCAGGTACACCAACCCCACGGGCCACCCGTCGGGGCTCCGGATCGCACGCATCGCCGCTGAGGCCGTGCGCCTCGTCGGCGGACGGGCGGGCGCGCGGTGGGTCGTGCTTGTCGACGACGACACCGTGCTGTGCCCCGACAACCTGGTCGCCGTGCTCAGCAAGTACGACTGGAGGGAGATGGTGTACGTCGGGGCGCCGTCCGAGAGCCACTCCGCCAACACCTACTTCAGCCATAGCATGGCTTTCGGAGGTGGCGGCGTCGCGCTCAGCTTCCCACTCGCCGCTGCACTCGCGCAGACGCTCGACGTGTGCATCGAGAGGTACCCCAAGCTGTATGGAAGCGACGATCGCCTCCATGCCTGCATTACGGAGCTCGGCGTGCCCCTATCCCGTGAATACGGATTCCACCAGGTATCTAGCTTGCCCTTCAACATTTTGCCGGGATTGAATTGTAAAGCTGCTGGCTACAACTCTGATCGCCTGATACAGTTAGTATTGCTTTTACTATTGTGCTATGTGGGACTTCCTCATAAACTAGTTCTCAGCCACAGCCACAGCCACAAATGACATTCGTTCGTGGATTGATCCCTCTTTTCCATTCGCGAGTAGTTACACATTCTATGTGTAAACACCCCCAAAAATTGTTTGGAGTTTTCATGAATCATTTCCCAATGTAGAGGTTAGTCTGGATGCCTCTGTTGATGTTTCAAACTTTGCCATATGTCATCAGTCATACTTGTTTCATTAGGGCAGAAAGGAAGGTAATGCTTTCCACTGTTGCCCCATCTGAGCTGGTCAATTTTATCATTGACTGATTGTGCTTCAACAAAAGTAGGTCATTGCCAGAGTGGTTATGACAGTGAAAGGAAAGTTTGGTAGGACTTGAAGGTTGCTTTTGTTTGGTCGCTTTTCTTCCCTGGACACTTTTGCCAGGATTTGCTTGGTTATTCTACAGTATTGTCTGTCTCTCAATGCCAATCTGAAAATCGGCAGTGGATGTGGATGTGCCTGAGAATGATAATAGCTTATTACTAAAAAATGTTTTGTTTTCTGCTATCGTAATAAAAAAATTAGATTAGACTGATTTTCAGCTTCGTTAGTCTGAGTATATATGCTGATAAAACCCATCCATCCTACTAACCTACTAATTCCATTTTTTCTTGTCATATATCAGTGGGATATCAGAGGCAATGCTCATGGGTTATTGGCATCTCATCCAATTGCTCCTTTCATCAGTATCCACCATGTGGAGCTTGTGGACCCCATATACCCTGGATTGAACTCTCTTGAGAGTCTGGAGCTGTTTACGAAGGCTATGAAAATGGAACCCATGAGCTTCCTGCAGCGTTCAATTTGTTATGATCAAAGCCAAAGGCTTACATTTGCTATCTCGTTGGGCTATGTTGTTGAAGTATACCCCAATGTTCTTCTTCCTCGTGATTTGGAGCGATCGCAACGTACTTACATTGCTTATAATAGGATGAGTCAGAGAAATGAATTTGATTTTGACACTAGAGATGTTCAGAAGTCTTTGTGCAAGAAGCCAATCTTATTTTTCTTGAAGGATGTCTGGAAGGATGGAAACATAACTAGGGGATCTTACGCACGATCAAGTGCTAGGGATGACCTCAAAAGAAAGGTGTTTTGCTTCCGGTCACCCCCTTTACCTGACATAGATGAGATCCAAGTTTCTTCATCTCCATTAAGCAAGCGCTGGCATCTGGTTTGTACTATCATTTCTTAACAGTACCTCATTGCCTCTCTTAATTATTTACATGTGCTAAGTTACCATTCTGCTGATATAGGCACCAAGAAGGTTGTGCAGTGCACTCAAAGGATCTATTGATGGTACTCTTTTTATGTTTGTTCGGCAATGTGGACGTGGGACTTTTGGCTCAGCTTCTGATTCCTTATGACTGATGGGAAACAGAGATGTATATTTTCTGTCCAGATGATACCTGGAAGATGTAGTTACCGCCCTACATTCTTTGAGTCAACTATCATTGGGGCTCTTTTTCTGCCTCAAACGCTTGACAGTAGCCAACTGCTTGTTATAATTGGTAGTTACTGAAGGTAGTTTCTGTATCCTCTCTTAGTGGATTACATTTAAAAATAGCATGTTAGTGTTAATGAGAAGTACCTGTGTCCTATAAGGCACTTTATAGCATAAAGCACTAAGATGGCTTCTCAGCCTAATACAGTTTGCTGTTCCAGTATTGTTGACCAATCATGTGCTTGATGCAATCATTTTATTGTTTCTTGCCACCTTGTTACCTACAGGGCATCTACTGCCAAGAACAGATTAAAGTGAGCCATCATTCGTGGGCTAAAATTTTAACAGCTTCAAGTTCAACATGAATGAGATATGGAAATGATATGTAATAATTGAGCGGCAGAGCTCCTGCCTTTTATTAAAAAAAAAAAAGAAATGATATGTGATAAAGTTAACAACTATTTCATTTTTACTTGGGAAAAGCCTTGTGTGCTGCACCGTTACTGGAGTTCCAAACTAATTTCATGTGCACATATAATTAATTTAATGACCATGGTTGTCCTTAATGTTCTATTTTCATACCTTGCTTTCAGAATTATACACACTTTTACACAGTTGCCTTCTGTTGCCTAATTCAAGATGATACAAAATGAATGCCTCTCTCATATCAGTTATGCCAACAGGCACCTATAATAAATTGCCATATTAACTAAAGTTTTTTACTATTTTGCCGAGTTTCTGAATTCTGAAAGATGGTGCTGATATTTTTAATGTTTCTGCACAAAGATGTCCTGTTCGTACAATTGTTACCGTAACTATCCTTGAACTTTACTCTTGCTCTTGGTATGAACAGGATAGACCATTCTTTGCGGATTTTCTTTGACTTTTCCTTTGCCAGCGATATTTGTCTGCTTGTTTTACTGTAGGAAGCAAACGTCTTTGGGGGTTTATACAAACTAATTCATCCTTTTACTTAGAAGGATAAAACTTATTTGTTTTAAACCATGGAGTGCAGTTCAAGCTTCATTTTTCCTTTCCACGAAATAGGATTCTAGAGGGATATATAGATGTGCATGTTGCTAAAAAAGTGGAATGCAACAGAAAATAACAGTATGCTTGCTGATTGGAGACAAGAGATTCATTCTGTCCACAGAATAACTGTGACTTTTATAATTCCTCTGGTGTAACTAGGTTAGGAGGTTGAGTCACTGTGATATAGAGTAAATGATTGCTTTGCATGGATCTAGTTGAATCCATGCATGTGCTCCTCCAAAGCTGATCACTGGTCTAGTTAACAGTCATATTGATGATCAACCAGTTTCCTAGGCAGAATTCGGGGGAAATGCTTGTATTAATTCAATCATTTGGTCATAAACATTCCTGTTAGCGGAAAATGATTTAACCTGAAAGTGCAGCACTGGAGTTCATCTTCTTCTCTAGTGTATGTCCTCAATGTTGAATATGTTCCACAAGGTTCCTTTTCTTGAGCTCAACAACTATAAACTATAAACCTATAGAAGCAGCTAGAGACGAAAACATAAAATCCCAATTGGTGGAGGTGGAGCTAGTTCCTTGGTTAGGCGATTGCAAGTTAATTTTCTGTTATCAGGTATATTTTTTCAAATACTGTGCTTGCTGGAAAGTGATCACAGTCACAGCAGTACATGGAATCTGAATCATAAAAGGAGCAGTTATTTAGAAATCTTATATGCACTGCTAGGTCAAGATTTGTTTTCCTATTGTATTTTTGGGTTTTCCAAAGACTTCCATCTTGAACAGCTTATAATTTGTAAAAGAAATAAATATCTTTTCATGTAAATCTGCATCATAGGCCGAAAAAATTCAAAAGAAAAGTCAAAATGCTGCATTAACATTAGTTACATAATTGAGATTAATTATTTGGAAACTTATTTCCCTTTTGTAAGATCTTTCAAGATTTGTGTTTGCATGTGTTGGTGCTAACTGTTTCTCTAAAATGCTTTTTTTTTTCTTTCATGTTTCCATGTAATGCTTGCCATAGTCAGTGCTTCATGCTGTGCTTGCATACATGCCAATCTGTTAGCAAGGTCGTGTGTTGTCTTTGTTGATTTTAATGGAAAAATCAGTCTCAATATGCTAGAAGTGTACAATTTGCCAAATTGACTTGAACTTTCTGAAATTGCCTTTTGTAGCAGTTGCTGACAGAAGAAACTCTGCAGAAAAGACATGCTGGAGATTTTTGCTTTGGAATCTCTATGTGGCTGGTGTCTGATACTTGGAGACTGAGGCCTAGTGAAGAGGCCTTAAGACTAAAGCTGCGGTAGGCTGAGAACTAACTGTCTGGTTTCATTCTAGAGACCAGTTTACCCACCTTCGTGGATTCTCCATGAAGTGTGTGAAATCAGGTAAGAATAGTAATATGTTAGTCGGGGGGTTTTAGTGCTGTAATCATGTAACCCTTCTTCATAGTTCATACCCTAGTTAGGTTGCGAAACAGTGTAAAGCATGCCAGCCGTTATGGATAACTCATTCAATCTATTCTTTCCTGTGAGGTTTCAAAAACCTTCCCGTCCTGTGCCTCCTCCTGTGGAAGGGAGCATTAACCAAAGAGTCGTTGTGGATTTTAGTCAGGGTCCAGTATGATATTTGAGCAATTGACTTTAGAATTTGGACTATCTAGTCCTAGATTCATCCATAGCTGTTGGAACTCGGGGGTAAAGTTTTCAGATTTCTAAGGGAATCGAACCATTTCTTCATTTTTCTTGTGAAATTTCAACGAGCTGAACAGAACAGGCCCTGAAGTTTACTCTTTCCTTTCAGTTGTGTCCGACTTCATCTAGTGTATTTTTTTAATAATAATTCATCTAGTGTCGAAGTCACTTTATTGCGGTATGTCTAATGTTTGAGTTTAAATGAACATGGACCTAACTCCCTTTCCAATACCTTGATCTAGTTGTTAGTTTGCTTGCAATTTACTCTAGCCAGTTTGTGTGAGGACTCAGGTTTCTTCTAGTTTCTCGTCATTGTGGGAATGCTGATTGTCGAACATAAACCTCCATCAAATTATCGTCTGAACAATGCTTTATATTTATGCTCTCCAATCTCCAGTATTTAACCAGCAAATTTTTTTTGCAGTGTTATTTTCAGTAGTTTTTTTAGCGGAGTGTTATTTTCAGTAGTGAACAAATGAACATGTTCTCTGGGCTTGATGTATCCACGGCCCCAAAATCCCATCCTAGTAGAATGCTTTCAGGCCCATCGAGGTCCACAGAGTTTTGTTATCCATCTCAGGTTCCATATATCATTCGAAAGGCTATTTTTTTTTTTTTTTTTTGGGGTGGGGGGGGGTAATTGGAAAGGCTGTACCAGAAGGACGGGCCTGGTGCAAGCAAAGTCTTACCGCCTGTGACCGGAAGGTCCTGGGTTTGAATTGCGGTCTTCTCGCATTGCACAGGCGAGGGTAAGGCTTGCCACTGACATCCTTCTCCAGACCCCGCACAGAGCGGGAGCTCTCTGCACTGGGTACGTCCTATATTGAAAAGGCTGTACCACGAAACCGCAATATCGAAATGAAACTCATAGCATGGCTTTCAGACTGGAATTGAGATTTCAGGAATGGTTGGAATGCTTGGATAGAAGCCACAACTCAGTAGCAAATATGAGTAACTTGGGCGTTTCACCCCGGGAGTGTTGCAAGGAAATAGGGCTCCATTTTCATCCGTTTATGCTATGTCAGCCAGTACTTTGGGTTTGACGTAACGTAAGGGCGCCGGTTGAAACGCAAGAGTTTCGTATGAGATGGAATAGAAGTAGAACAGGTATCCTTTGGCAACCCCCCGATCCAGAACATGTATGTCCTCTTCTCCTCGTCTGGAGAACAGGAGTCTTCGGTTTGGCCACTACCAAAATCCCCGTGTCCCGTGATTGCCCACCTTTCGCGCGTGGGCCTCGCTGCGAGCAACACCGACCTGATCCTGGATCAGAAAGAGTGAAAGACCACACGAACATGACACGGAAGTTTCTGTGTGAAAAAAAACTCCTTTCCTTTTCCTGCAAGTGCCTTGCAGGCTGTCCATTGTCCGGTAAACTTTATTCCACACTGCATGTTTTGTTAGTTCTCTGCCTAACTAACTAACACAGGTATTCTGCTCTACCTCTCGTCACCGTATCCATTTCGCCCCAGTAGCTGGTAACCTATTATTCCAGTGTAAAAAAGACAGGCGACGGTGGTATCTTGCGTTGCGTGCAGCCGGGGAACTAGGTGATGTTGCCGTCCACGCCGGCGATGGCAAGCAGTAGTAGAATTTGGTTTTGACACACGACGAGTCTTTGACTGATGGTGCCGTTCTAATTAACTTTTAGGGTCTTGGATCTGTGGAAGTTGGTAGGAAACCTAACCGGAAACCCCAATAAAGTAAAGCGATCGACGCGATATCGATGATTGGCCATACCAAACACGAGCTCGAATCTTCACACCCGTTTCGAACGCGGTAATTAGAGCAGGAATAAAGCTATCCTGAGATCTTATCTATCCCTAATAATAAAGAGGCAAAATTTTCGGTCATTTTTTTCCATCTATTTATTTTTGTCCATCTCCTTAACTACCGAACAATGAAGGCCCTGTTCAGCTGGCTGGAAAAACGGCTGATGCTGATGCTGATTGATTGTGAGAGAAAAATACTATTATTTCGCTGAAACAGTACGGCTGATAAGTGCAAGTGAACAGGGCCGAAGATTTTCTTACGTCCGGACTTATATATATAATAACCCGTACTCATACGAGTTAGAATAGCTCTTGTTTATCGCGATACGGAGTTCAATTCCAAAACATATTGAGTCGTGTATTGACCCGGACTCATAAGTCGTGCTATATTTATTGTTTTCTAATCTTTATAGAAAAAATAGTAGAAGTTAGAACGAAGATTATTGGAAAATCGGACAAAA